GTTTTTTCTAACTATTTTCAGAGTAGACGGCAGATAGACTGAGGTGGGTTTGTTGATGTGTTCTGGACATTTAGAGACGATTGAGGAAAATAGAAGGACTTGGAGGGCGTATAACTCTGTAGTGGAGAGAGGTAGGGGTAGGGGTCGTCCCAAGGGAAAGCTGGAGGGAGGGGGGGTAAAGGAGGTTTTGAGTTTTAGTGGCTTGGACATCCAGCAGGCTTGTGTGAGCGTGTTACCGAGGAGTGAATGGAGGAAAGTGGTTGTTAGGGTTTGACGTGCTGTTGGAGTGTGAGCTTAACTGACTCCCTAAGTTAAGCTTCTGGAAAATGAGAAGTCTGGTGTCATGCAAGTGCGTGATAGCTCCAGTTCCTTGGATCAAGGACACAGCATAGTGAGAAGTGTAGCGGAGGCTTGATTCACTGTGCACTAAACCAGTGTGGATCACACAGTACAAACAACAGTGAAGGCTCGATCCACCGTACATAAACCAGTGTGGATCACACAGTACAAACAACAGTGAAGGCTCGATCCACCGTACATAAACCAGTGTTGATCACACAGTACAAACAACAGTGGAGGCTCGATCCACCGTACATAAACCAGTGTGGATCACACAGTACAAACAACAGTGAAGGCTCGATCCACCGTACATAAACCAGTGTGGATCACACAGTACAAACAACAGTGGAGGCTCGATCCACCGTACATAAACCAGTGTGGATCACACAGTACAAACAACAGTGAAGGCTCGATCCACCGTACATAAACCACGTCAACAACAGCTCAGATATCACTACATCACAATACAATACCCAATAAAACAATATTTTTTCCACTAACTATTTATTGTACCCAAAATAAAGCATAAAATAAAACTTTAGACAAAACTAATACAATAAACAATGACAGTTAATAAAGAATTAAATCATAAACCAGAATAAATATTAGGAAAGTTTATATTTCTGTATATACACTCAGATGTGTATTTATCTCTGTATATACACTCAGAGATGTGTATATTTCTGTATATACACTCAGAGATGTGTATATTTCTGTATATACACTCAGAGATGTGTATATTTCTGTATATACACTCAGAGATGTGTATATTTCTGTATATACACTGAGAGGTATATATATCTGTGTATATACACCCAGAGATGCATATATCTCTGTATATACACTCAAAAGTATATACATATGTATATACACCTCTGTGTGTATACCTATGTATATACATACACAACCGTATATACCTTGAAGGTATACTATAATCAGTCCATAAGTTATTTTTTTTTTTTTTGCCTGCCTTTGAGCCGGTTTCAAAAAGTCACTAAATAGTCGTCAGGTTTCTAGACCTAAAGAAACCGTTCTCAGCCACTGGATAACCAATCACTTTTCAAAAATACTCATTCTTAACACAGCTCATTCTTGGCTCATTCTTAACAGCTCATTCTTGGCTCATTCACAGTAGGCTTAAAAGGAAACGGAATAGAGTACGTCAGAGTGAGTGACAGTGGCACGAGAGGACGTGGGTGAGTACCGACGCTCAGACACACTGGAATATCAATGGGTCTGTGGCAACCTTTGATGCTGTTTCAATTATGTTTTGACGGCAAGTAACACACCCACACACACGTCACGTCTTGGTGACGGTGGCCTCGTCACATGATGGTTGGTTAGTTTGGGAGAGAGAGAGTGAGAGTTAGAGAGAGAGAGAGAGAGAGAGAGAGAGAGAGGAGAGAGAGAGAGAGAGAGAGAGAGAGAGAGAGCCTGTCGGCTACGAGAGGGTCATTTTAAGGCGGCTTGTCATCCATTCACCACCAGTGAATATACACTGAGTGAAACACACACCTCTCTGTGTGTATAGGCTTAAATACACACGTCTGAATGTATATACACCGAAAGATAGACATATCTTAGTGGATATATACTTAGATACACATTTCCCGGTCTAAAGAAGAGGCACAATACTCTGGAACAACACACAAATAACCCGGACATAGAAGAGAGGAGCTTACCACGACATTTCGCTCCGACTTAGAATATTTACTTTGTAAATGTGTATTCCTAGTGTACATCATCTGAGAGAAATACGCATCTCAGTATACATAGACTTAGATACGCACTTCACAGTATATATATATAGCCACGCACTTCTCAGTGTAAATACACTGAAAGATAAACGCCTCTCAGTGTAAATAGATTGTCAATTAGTTTCAAATTATAACTGAAAGGCAAAAAATTACAAATTAGGTTAACAGAGGCATTATATACCATTAGCCTACTAAAAGGCTTACTTTGATGCGTTGGCAACTTAACGGGAAGTAACGAGACCATAGTAAGTGAACGGGTAACGAGAACAAAGTTGTTAACGAAGTTAATGAGATGGTAAACATTGTTTGTTAAGATGTGCGACATCAAAGCGGGAAACTGGCAGCACTGAGTGAGTTAATAATGACCTGGAGGAAGGTACGGAGCTGGCTGGGGCTCTGACAGTACTTGGAACCAGGAGCTACAGCCTGTAGGATACCCGGAACCAGGAGCTGCGGGCTTTCAGGAGACTTGGAACCAGGAACTGGGGGCTTTCAGGAGACTTGGAACCAGGAACTGGGGGCTTTCAGGAGACCTGGAACCAGGAACTGGGGGCTTTCAGGAGACCTGGAACCAGGAGCTGGGGGCTTTCAGGAGACTTGGAACCAGGAACTGGGGGCTTTCAGGAAACCTGGAACCAGGAGCTGGGGGCTTTCAGGAGACCTGGAACCAGGAGCTGGGGGCTTTCAGGAGACTTGGAACCAGGAACTGGGGGCTTTCAGGAGACTTGGAACCAGGAGCTGCGGGCTTTCAGGAGACTTGGAACCAGGAACTGGGGGCTTTCAGGAGACTTGGAACCAGGAGCTGCGGGTTTTCAGGAGACTTGGAACCAGGAACTGGGGGCTTTCAGGAGACTTGGAACCAGGAACTGGGGGCTTTCAGGAGACCTGGAACCAGGAACTGGGGGCTTTCAGGAGACCTGGAACCAGGAGCTGGGGGCTCTCAGGAGACCTGGAACCAGGAACTGGGGGCTTTCAGGAGACCTGGAACCAGGAACTGGGGGCTTTCAGGAGACCTGGAACCAGGAACTGGGGGCTTTCAGGAGACCTGGAACCAGGAGCTGGGGGCTTTCAGGAGACCCGGAACCAGGAGCTGGGGGCTTTCAGGAGATCTTGAACCAGGAGCTGGGGGCTTTCAGAAGACCTGGAATCAGAGGCTGGAGCCTACAGACCTGGAGTCAGGAGCTTCTTGTATGGTTATGGTACATAGATACTAATGCTTGTGTGCCTCAGATACAGCACATAAGCATTTGTAATTCCTAGTACCTCAGGTACGGTATACAGGCAGTAGCCATGACTAGTACCTGCTGTACGGTACACAGACGGTAGCCATGTGTACCGTACCGCAGGTACGACACAATGGCAGTAACCATGCCTAGTACCTCAGGTACGGTACACAGGCAGTAGCTCTGAATGTTTAACCATGCTCATTAGGAAGCACTAAACCCTTTAGGGTCACATAACGCCTGCGAGGGAACAATCAGATTTGATCCGAGGAAGGGGAGGACATCTCCAATTCCCTGGATCAAGAACCCTTCATTTAGCATTAGGATACTCCTTGATGAGACGCACATTAAAGAAAACGGAGATAAACAGCGATAATTTGCGGGTAACTAATTTAAATTGCATAGCACTTATTCCCATAGATTTAAATACAGATTCTGCATTTGCATTCATTGCATTTGCAAAATATGCAATGATCAGAGAGCCCATAAGATGCACTGCTGTTCATTTTCATACAAGGCTTGTTGTTCAGGTGGTGGCACTCAGTGGAAATGTCACTGACGTTCTTTTTTTTTTTTTTTTTTTTTTGGGGGGGGGGGGGTTATCCTAGGTAATTTACACATTCGTTACTATGTATGATAACTGTAGTTACCTGAATTTGTGTAGCTGTACTTATGTGTACCTGTATCTTAATAAACTTACCGCCAGGAACTGTGAATCAACTCCTTCAACCACATGTAGAGATGAGTACTAACGGAAGGACCTCGGTTCCAACTGATGGCTTTGTTACCTGACCGTGCTGGTAGCTTTGTTACCTGACCGTGCTGGTAGCTTCGTTACCTGACCGTGCTGGTAGCTTTGTTACCTGACCGTGCTGGTAGCTTCGTTACCTGACCGTGCTGATAGCTTTGTTACCTGACCGTGCTGGTAGCTTCGTTACCTGACCGTGCTGGTAGCTTCGTTACCTGACCGTGCTGGTAGCTTCGTTACCTGACCCTGCTGGTAGCTTCGTTACCTGATCGTGTTGGTAGCTTCGTTACCTGACCGTGCTGGTAGCTTTGTTACCTGACCGTGCTGGTAGCTTCGTTACCTGACCGTGCTGGTAGCTTCGTTACCTGACCGTGCTGGTAGCTTCGTTACCTGACCGTGCTGGTAGCTTCGTTACCTGACCGTGCTGGTAGCTTCGTTACCTGACCATGCTGGTAGCTTCGTTACCTGACCGTGCTGGTAGCTTTGCTACCTGACCGTGCTGGTAGCTTCGCTACCTGACCCTGCTGGTAGCTTCGGTACCTGACCCTGCTGGTAGCTTCGCTACCTGACCCTGCTGGTAGCTTTGCTACCTGACCCTGCTGGTAGCTTCGCTACCTGACCCTGCTGGTAGCTTTGCTACCTGACCCTGCTGGTAGCTTTGCTACCTGACCGTGCTGGTAGCTTCGCTACCTGTCCCTGCTGGTAGCTTCGCTACCTGACCGTGCTGGTAGCTTTGCTACCTGACCCTGCTGGTAGCTTCGTTACCTGACCCTGCTGGTAGCTTCGCTACCTGACCCTGCTGGTAGCTTCGCTACCTGACCCTGCTGGTAGCTTCGCTACCTGACCCTGATGGCGACTTCCTTTGATCACCAAAGTTATTATTCTTCTGCGTTTGATATCCTTTGTATAACTTTGTTAACCTTTGTGTTGCAGGTCCGCGGCAGTGTAGCCCTCCTGCTGGTGGTACTGGTGGCCTCCTCCTGCGTCTCCGCCCAGCTCAACTTCTCCCCAGGCTGGGGCAAACGGACCGGTACCGCGGCTGGGGGACCTGACCAGACCATCCTCCACTCATCCTCTCCCGCAGCCGTAGCCAGCGACAACTGCGGCACAATCCCCGTCTCAGCCGTCATGCACATCTACAGGCTTATTAGGGTCAGTTAATAGGGTTATCGTGAGGTCTGTTAACAGGGTTATCACGAGGTCTGTTAACATTGCTATCACGAGGTCTGTTAACAGGGGTATCACGAGGCCTGTTAACAGAGCTATCATGAGGTCTGTTAACAGGGCTATCACGAGGTCTGTTAACAGGGCTATCACGAGGTCTGTTAACAGGGCTATCACGATGTCTGTTAACAGGGGTATCACGAGGTCTGTTAACAGGGGTATCACGAGGTCTGTTAACAGGGCTATCATGAGGTTTGTTAACAGGGCTATCACGAGGTCTGTTAACAGCTATCACGAGGTCTGTTAACAGATATCACGAGGTCTGTTAACAGGGTTATCATGTTAGCCCCACGCAGGAGAACCCAAGAAAGCCAATGCATCACTGTCGCCTCGACTGTCTGTGTTATCTCAATTGTGTCCTTTATTCTTGCCCCAGGATGCAACCCACACGAGTCGGGTAACACCCAGGTACCCACTTACTGCTAGGTGAACAGGGACAGCAGGTGTAAGGTGACTAACACCCGGGTACCTACTTACTGCTAGGTGAACAGGGACAGCAGGTGTAAGGTGACTAACATCCGGGTACCTACTTACTGCTAGGTGAACAGGGACAGCAGGTGTAAGGTGACTAACACCCAGGTACCTACTTACTGCTAGGTGAACAGGGACAGCAGGTGTAAGGTGACTAACACCCAGGTACCTACTTACTGCTAGGTGAACAGGGACAGCAGGTGTAAGGTGACAAACACCCGGGTACCCACTTACTGCTAGGTGAACAGGGACAGCAGGTGTAAGGTGACTAACACCCGGGTACCCACTTACTGCTAGGTGAACAGGGACAGCAGGTGTAAGGTGACTAACATCCGGGTACCTACTTACTGCTAGGTGAACAGGGACAGCAGGTGTAAGGTGACTAACACCCAGGTACCTACTTACTGCTAGGTGAACAGGGACAGCAGGTGTAAGGTGACTAACACCCAGGTACCTACTTACTGCTAGGTGAACAAGGACAGCAGGTGTAAGGAAATATGCATAACGTTTCACCCGTGCCGGGGATCGATCCCCGGACTCTCCGTATGTGAGCTGAGGGGGCTACCTATCGATTTAGCGACTAATAATAATCACCCAGGTTTGATTCGAGGAACAGGAGAGTGGCTCCAATTACCTAGATAGGAAAAGGTGTCAGCGGAGGCTGGTGGACAACGCACTCGCCTCACACACAGTGTCCTTGGTTCGATCTCAAGTAGCAGTGGAAACACTGGGCGTGTTTCTTCACACCTATTGTCCCGTTAACCTAACAAGTAAGTAGGTACCTGGTTGTTAGTCGACTGGCGTGGGTCGCATCCTGGGGGACAAGACTGAGGACCACAGTGGAAATTAGACAGTCTCGACGACGCACTGACTTTCTCGGGTTATCCTGCGTGGTTAACCCTCCGGGGTTAAAAATCCGAACGAAATCTTATTTTTCATTTCATGTAAAAATGAGATTAGAAAATGGGAAATATGACACGAGTGTAAGATAGAAAACTATTTCTTATTAAGGTATAACTATGTTAGATAAAAAGACACATACTCAACTAATGTGACATTTTACCGTGGCAACGTTTCGCTCCTGGAGATCAAAACGTTGCCACAATAATATGTCACATTAGTTGCACTTGTGTCCTGTTGCGTAACATATTGTCGGTAATTCTACCAACATTATTTAGGTACCACTATGATAAGTCTGATTTATCACCATTGGAGTCCTTAGTTCCCCAGGATGCCAGCCACAACAGTGGCCCAGCACTCAGGTACCTACTTACTACTAGGTGAACAGGCACCAACAGGTGCCCAACGTTTCCACCAGTCGAGGATTCGAACCTGGGTCCTTCAGTTGTTGGAAGAGAAAGTGGGTTGGTGAGGACGGAGTTGAGGAGGACCAGGGTGAGTTACAGGGCTGTTGTGATGAGGACAACAATGTTCCTGTCACTCACTCCTGCCACTCACTCGTCACACTCACTCTAGCAATGAAGAATTTTCTTAACTTAACAAAGACCATCGCAGAACTCCATTATATTCATTAATTCTCTCTCTCTCTCTCTCTCTCTCTCTCTCTCTCTCTCTCTCTCTCTCTCTCTCTCTCTCTCTCTCTCTCTTTCTCTCCTTCCTCTCACTCACACAATACACACACACACACACCACACACACACACACACACACACACACACACACACACACACACACACTAACACACACACGCACACACACACACACACACTAACACACACACGCACACACACACACACACATGATAAGGTTTTTGGAGCGGGAGAGAACAGACCTGGTAGTGATCAGCGTAGAGACGGGGCCAGGAACTGTGAATCGACCCCTGCAACCACATATAGGTGAGAACACACACACACACACACACACACACACACACACACACACACAGATCCAGTCTTGCTTCTCGCCAAGACTACAAATTACCAGTTAATACTGACCCTCTCTATCCGCTTTTTACTAAGTCAGAGCAGACAACTACAATGTGGAAAACATCTCAGCAGACGCAGACTTCACTAAGGAATAACTGGATTCGTTTGAAAATAAGACGTAAACATCTCATTTAATGATATACAAAGAACAGAGGACAGTCATTTCCATATAAACTAAATGTGTGGCTTATGCACTTGTAAAGATGAGTGAGGGGCAGGCTTAGGGACCCTTCAAGGGTGACCTTCAAGGGTGACCTTCAAGGGTGACCTTCAAGGGTGACCTTCAAGGGTGACCTTCAAGGGTGACCTTCAAGGGTGACCTTCAAGGGTGACCTTCAAGGGTGGCCTTCAAGGGTGACCTTCAAGGGTGACCTTCAAGGGTGACCTTCAAGGGTGACCTTCAAGGGTGACCTTCAAGGGTGACCTTCAGGGGTGACCTTCAAGGGTGACCTTGCCACCGTGCAGGGGACGGAGTTAGTCTTAACCTGATTATTATGATCACAGAATTATTATTATTATTATTATTATTATTATTATTATTATTATTATCGTTATTATTATTATTATTATTATATTTACGTGGGAGGGCTAAACTCGAATGGGTCATTCAGTATCAGGGAAAAGGGATACAATCAGATATGATATATGAAAGAGGAGGGTCGCTCCATTTCCTTGCATAAAGAGCCCTACAACAACATCAAGGTACCCCATCTTGAAAGCAAGAGCCCCCAGAGAACTCACACTATATGGAATCAAGACACGTTTTGAACCCTGGGAGCTCTCTCAGGTGGTGCTGAGAAAGCCCAGTAGTGGGTGGTAGGTACAGTGCTAGTCACGGCATTATGCCGGGTGAGCGCCCCGGCATAATGCCGTGACTAGCACTGTAGGTATAATGTTAGTCAGGACACAGAACAAATGTTTCCTGACACGGGTCTTAGACACATAATAACCCACGGGTGAAGCTTCTGGTCATCTGACCGATGCCTTCCACTGGCTTATCCCTCCACCACTTTTAAAATCACAGTGGGTGAAGCATATCGTAACATAAGTCCCACATTCGTGTATTTATTTCCATAGTTCTTGGGTACTAATACCAATGGTATCAGCACCCATAAAGTCTCTCTGTAAAGGACACCAATAGAAATATATAATTTACACTATGTATAATAATTATACTTATGTGTATCTGTGCCTAGATTAACTTGCTTTATCTCTCTATGCCTACAGACTGAAGCAGCGAGACTTGTACAGTGTCAGGAAGAAGAATACATGGGTTAAATGCGACACCCACCACCACTACCACTACCAGCAACCACCATCACCACCACTACCACTACCAGCAACCACTCTCGTCTTAGCTACCAGCTGTGACAGTCACACTGCTGTGTTAGTTCCCCAGGTCTTCCCCTGAACCACAAGAGATGTCTCCCATCGTCTTCCTCTCCCCTTCTGGCCCAGTGGTGGGCTGGGTTTAGCCTCTCCTGAAATTCATATATTTTTCTCGTCTTTCGGAAACTCGTGGGGTGGACAACCTGGAATCAGAAGTGTTTGCAATTGAATAAACTAGTCCATGTGGCTATATGGTTTTTCTTCTCCAGATTCCTACTTGAGGTGGCTAGATACATAGGTTGGTATACATACTGTCATACCTACCTCAAGCCTACATACTCACTCCACCATATAAAGCAAGTTTAACCTTATTCAACTAAATATGCAGTGGAAATACGAGGACCCCAATGGAGATAAGTCACTTCGACGTTTTTGGGAGGTTATCGTACGTAATTTACACTTATGTGTACCTCTGACTAAATAATATATATATATATATATATATACTGAGAAATATACACTTCTCGGTTTATATATACTGAGAGATATACACCTCTCAATGTATATATGTTGAGAGATACACATTTCTCGATGTATATATACTGATCGATATAAACCTCGGCCTATATACTATATACATATACTTCATAAAAAACGGAAAACCTTTAAATGCACATTTTTGGGTGACAAAAATAAATATGTATTATGTAGGGTATTTTTTTTACCATTACGACGAAATAATTAACATTTTGATCACCACAAACGGGTCATTAAGCAGAGTTATCAGTGTATTATAATTTATTCACACACGCATACATTTGTACATTATGAAATATTTCAAAAACACGGAGTCAAAACTAGCCTATATATCACATAAATATTTTGGCAGCAATCGAGAAACATACCAACAAAAATACAAGGCTACCCATAGTAATTCACTCTAAAATACAAGGTTGATTAGTTAATTGTAAAGCCTAGTTAGTACATGACGCAGGTTTGTCATGTATATCTGGTGATTGTAGGTCACACTCTTGGAGCTCAGTGTTTAGTTAGTTTAATATATTTATTATGCACCCCATACCCATCCTGTGGGCGGTAGTCAAAAGATTACAGAGGTACATAATGGGTCCAGGGACTGGGCCTCAAAGTTTTGAGGAGCTCAGTGTAGACAGGGTTTGTGGCGGCACAAGGTGCCTAGCTTCTCCCTCCGAGCCCCGTGGAGGCGGGGAATGGAGCTAGGCCTGGGACAGCTGGTCCTAGGAGACGAGGAGGTACTCGTACCTCCTCCCATGACAGACATTGGTCTGAGACACCCCCGAGCAAGGGAGCCATGGCCGGGCCACCACTTGGAAAAGGCCCGGCCAGGACGATTATACCGGTGAATTTACAAAGGTCTGAGAATGACAACTTGAAACCCGGGTCGTGTTGCTGTATTGTTCCACAGTAGTTTTCTCAGTTCCTTCGGTTCTAAGCTTATGAAGGACTACAGGTGGGTTATTAAGGCTTCAGTTAATTGTATAATAACACCAAGCACATTTGAATCTTTAAAGTATGGATGAATATGCACATTTATAGGCTTACGTAGGCTGATGTGTGTCACCAATACAGACCAGCTTCTTGTAACGGGGACGGGATGCAATCAAGTTTGACCCGAGGAAGGAGAGGATAGATCCAATTCCTTGAACCAAGAACCCTTCACAAACATCAATAAGGCACTTCCCCTCCTTCCTTGAAATGACAGATTTAATCACTTAACAGCAAATGAATTTCGACGTTGTTCTTACGACACCTTTCATAAGTGGCATGGTAAATTAAAATTAATCATTATTATCCTGGAAAGCGCAAAACCCGTGTTGGTTTGTGTAAATTGTGAAATATATATGATTCGTGAGATGAAGAGGAACCATCGGTTGCTTCCATATCTGTCCGTCAAAGCATTCCACTCTAAACAGAGAAAGATCGCAGTCAGCAGGATTCGAACCCACTACAGGAGGACTGGCAAGGTTCCCAAGCCTGCTGACTTCGATCTTTCTCTGTATATACCCGCCTGTTTCTGTGTGGTGCATTGATTTCACTTTAAATCATTGCAAATTCAGAAATTTTCCCCAGTATCAACATACACGAGAGTTACTGTGTCTAACAGGTTTCAAATTATAATGGTATACTTGACTGACACATGCGAGAATGACTCTTCTTGGAGGATAAGTTTCGCCCACCAGGGACTTCTTTAGTGCAATGAATGTTTCGCCAGTGTTTTGTGTGGTGGATGAGTTAGAGAGGTTGGCAGGGGGGAGTGTGATGGATGACCTGGAGATGTTGGCAGGGGGAGTGTGATGGATGACCTGGAGAGGTTGGCAGGGGGAGTGTGATGGATGACCTGGAGAGGTTGGCAGGGGGTGTGATGGATGACCTGGAGAGGTTGGCAGGAGTGTGATGGATGACCTGGAGAGGTTGGCAGGGGGAGTGTGATGGATGACTTGGAGAGGTTGGCAGGGGGAGTGTGATGGATGACCTGGAGAGGTTGGCAGGGGGAGAGTGTGATGGATGACCTGGAGAGGTTGGCAGGGGGAGTGTGATGGATGAGCTAGAGAGGTTGGCAGGGGGAGTGTGATGGATGACCTGGAGAGGTTGGCAGGGGGAGTGTGATGGGTGACCTGGAGAAGTTGGCAGGGGGAGTGTGATGGATGAGCTAGGGAGGTTCGCAGGGGGAATGTGATGGATGACCTGGAGAGGTTAGCAGGGGAAGTGTGATGGATGACCTGGAAAGGTTGGCAGGGGGAGTGTGATGGATGACCTAGAGAGGTTGGCAGGGGGGAGTGTGATGGATGACCTGGAGAGGTTGGCAGGGGGAGTGTGATGGATGACCTGGAGAGGTTGGCAGGGGGAGTGTGATGGATGACCTGGAGAGGTTGGCAGAGGGAGTGTGATGGATGACCTGGAGAGGTTGAGAGAGGGAGTGTGATGGATGAGCTAGGGAGGTTGGCAGGGGGAGTGTGATGGATGACCTGGAAAGGTTGGCAGGGGAGTGTGATGGATGACCTGGAGAGGGTGTGCAGAGGGAGTGTGATGGATGAGCTAGGGAGGTTGGCAGGGGGAGTGTGATGGATGACCTGGAGAGGTTGGCAGGGGGAGTGTGATGGATGACCTGGAGAGGTTGGCAGAGGGAGTGTGATGGATGACCTGGAGAGGTTGGCAGGGGGAGTGTGATGGATGACCTGGAGAGGTTGGCAGGGGGAGTGTGATGGATGACCTGGAGAGGTTGGCAGGGGGAGTGTGATGGATGACCTGGAGAGGTTGGCAGGGGGAGTGTAATGGATGACCTGGAGAGGTTGGCAGGGGGAGTGTGATGGATGACCTGGAGAGGTTGGCAGGGGAGTGTGATGGATGACCTGGAGAAGTTGGCAGGGGGAGTGTGATGGATGACCTGGAGAGGTTGGCAGGGGGAGTGTGATGGATGACCTGGAGAGGTTGGCAGGGGAGTGTGATGGATGACCTGGAGAGGTTGGCAGGGGAGTGTGATGGATGACCTGGAGAGGTTGGCAGGGGGAGTGTGATGGATGACCTGGAGAAGTTGGCAGGGGGAGTGTGATGGATGACCTGGAGAGGTTGGCAGGGGGAGTGTAATGGATGACCTGGAGAGGTTGGCAGGGGGAGTGTGATGGATGACCTGGAGAGGTTGGCAGATTCAATGAAATGGATGATGTAGAGAGGTGAGGAGACGCAGGATAGTAGACGATTTGCATATACTGGTAGACGGACCTTAACAGAGTTGTTGCTGTGGACACTGATGAAGCTCGTGGAAAGAATGACAAGGGGCGATCAAAACGTCGAGAATGACCTGGATATAGACTTGGTAGGTGGTAAAACCTGTCTTAACTTGAAAGAAACATTTAGAGTAGACAGAAGAAAAGTGAAAAAGGCGAAAGATGTTAATGGATTAATGTGAAGACCAGAACGTTACAATACACAAATAACCCGTACACAGGAGAAACTGCGACGACGTTTCGGCCCGACTTGGAGGCGCTTGTAGTTTTGCGTTAGGCCAGGACTATTACCCACCCAGACGTGGGCTGCCAGTACGAGTGTTGTCAGGTGTTGGTGGAAGCTTTGATGATACTGGCCAGGTTGTCAGTAGGTATTGTCAGCAGCAGTAGGGATGCTGGTGGTGGCCAGGGTGTCAGTAGGTGTTGTCAGCAGCAGTAGTGATGCTGGTGGTGGTCAGGGTGTCAGTAGGTGTTGTCAGCAGCAGTAGTGATGCTGGTGGTGGTCAGGGTGTCAGTAGGTGTTGTCAGCAGCAGTAGTGATGCTGGGTGGTGGTCAGGGTGTCAGTAGGTGTTGTCAGCAGCAGTAGTGATGCTGGTGGTGGCCAGGGTGTCAGTAGGTGTTGTCAGCAGCAGTAGTGATGCTGGTGGTGGCCAGGGTGTCAGTAGGTGTTGTCAGCAGCAGTAGGGATGCTGGTGGTGGCCAGGGTGTCAGTAGGTGTTGTCAGCAGCAGTAGTGATGCTGGTGGTGGTCAGGGTGTCAGTAGGTGTTGTCAGCAGCAGTAGGGATGCTGGTGGTGGCCAGGGTGTCAGTAGGTGTTGTCAGCAGCAGTAGTGATGCTGGTGGTGGTCAGGGTGTCAGTAGGTGTTGTCAGCAGCAGTAGTGATGCTGGTGGTGGGTCAGGGTGTCAGTAGGTGTTGTCAGCAGCAGTAGGGATGCTGGTGGTGGCCAGGGTGGTCAGTAGGTGTTGTCAGCAGCAGTAGTGATGCTGGTGGTGGTCAGGGTGTCAGTAGGTGTTGTCAGCAGCAGTAGTGATGCTGGTGGTGGCCAGGGTGTCAGTAGGTATTGTCAGCAGCAGTAGGGATGCTGGTGGTGGCCAGGGTGTCAGTAGGTGTTGTCAGCAGCAGTAGTGATGCTGGTGGTGGTCAGGGTGTCAGTAGGTGTTGTCAGCAGCAGTAGTGATGCTGGTGGTGGTCAGGGTGTCAGTAGGTGTTGTCAGCAGCAGTAGGGATGCTGGTGGTGGCCAGGGTGTCAGTAGGCGTTGTCAGCAGCAGTAGTGATGCTGGTGGTGGCCAGGGTGTCAGTAGGTGTTGTCAGCAGCAGTAGGGATGCTGGTGGTGGCCAGGGTGTCAGTAGGTGTTGTCAGCAGCAGTAGGGATGCTGGTGGTGGCCAGGGTGTCAGTAGGCGTTGTCAGCAGCAGTAGTGATGCTGGTGGTGGCCAGGGTGTCAGTAGGCGTTGTCAGCAGCAGTAGTGATGCTGGTGGTGGCCAGGGTGTCAGTAGGTGTTGTCAGCAGCAGTAGTGATGCTGGTGGTGGCCAGGGTGTCAGTAGGTGTTGTCAGCAGCAGTAGGGATGCTGGTGGTGGCCAGGGTGTCAGTAGGCGTTGTCAGCAGCAGTAGTGATGCTGGTGGTGGCCAGGGTTGTCAGTAGGCGTTGTCAGCAGCAGTAGTGATGCTGGTGGTGGCCAGGGTGTCAGTAGGCGTTGTCAGCAGCAGTAGTGATGCTGGTGGTGGCCAGGGTGTCAGTAGGCGTTGTCAGCAGCAGTAGTGATGCTGGTGGTGGCCAGGTTGTCAGTAGGTATTGTCAGCAGCAGTAGGGATATTGGTGGTGGCAAGGGTGTCAGTAGGTGTTGTCAGCAGCAGTAGTGATGCTGGTGGTGGCCAGGGTATCAGTAGGTATTGTCAGCAGCAGTAGTGATACTGGTGGTGGCCAGGGTGTCAGTAGATATTGTCAGCAGCAGTAATGATGCTGGTGGTGGCCAGGGTGTCAGTAGGTGTTGTCAGCAGCAGTAGTGATGCTGGTGGTGGCCAGGGTGCCAGAGGGTATTGTCAGCAGCAGTAGTGATGCTGGTGGTGGCAAGGGTGTCAGTAGGTGTTGTCAGCAGCAGTAGTGATGCTGGTGGTGGTCAGGGTGTCAGTAGGTGTTGTCAGCAGCAGTAGTGATGCTGGTGGTGGCCAGGGTGCCAGAGGGTGTTGTCAGCAGCAGTAGTGATGCTGGTGGTGGCAAGGGTGTCAGTAGGTGTTGTCAGCAGCAGTAGTGATGCTGGTGGTGGTCAGGGTGTCAGTAGGTGTTGTCAGCAGCAGTAGTGATTATGGTGGTGGCCAGGGTGTCACTAGGTGTTGTCAGCAGCAGTAGTGATGCTGGTGGTGGTCAGGGTGTCAGTAGGTGTTGTCAGCAGCAGTAGTGATGCTGGTGGTGGCCAGGGTGTCAGTAGGTGTTGTCAGCAGCAGTAGTGATGCTGGTGGTGGTCAGGGTGTCAGTAGGTGTTGTCAGCAGCAGTAGTGATGCTGGTGGTGGCCAGGGAGTCAGTAGGTGTTGTCAGCAGCAGTAGTGATGCTGGTGGTGGCCAGGGTGTCAGTAGGTGTTGTCAGCAGCAGTAGTGATGCTGGTGGTGGCCAGGGTGTCAGTAGGTGTTGTCAGCAGCAGTAGTGATGCTGGTGGTGGCCAGGGTGTCAGTAGGTGTTGTCAGCAGCAGTAGTGATGCTGGTAGTGGTCAGGGTGTCAGTAGGTGTTGTCAGCAGCAGTAGTGATGCTGGTGGTGGCCAGGGTGTCAGTAGGTGTTGTCTGCAGCAGTAGTGATGCTGGTGGTGGCCAGGGTGTCAGTAGGTGTTGTCAGCAGCAGTAGTGATGCTGGTGGTGGTCAGGGTGTCAGTAGGTGTTGTCAGCAGCAGTAGTGATGCTGGTGGTGGCCAGGGTGTCAGTAGGTGTTGTCAGCAGCAGTAGTGATGCTGGTGGTGGCCAGGGTGTCAGTAGATGTTGTCAGCAGCAGTAGTGATGCTGGTGGTGGTCAGGGTGTCAGTAGATGTTGTCAGCAGCAGTAGTGATGCTGGTGGTGGCCAGGGTGTCAGTAGGTGTTGTCAGCAGCAGTAGTGATGCTGGTGGTAGCCAGGGTGCCAGAGGATGTTGTCAGCAGCAGTAGTGATGCTGGTGGTGGCCAGGGTGTCAGTAGGTGTTGTCAGCAGCAGTAGTGATGCTGGTGGTGGCCAGGGTGTCAGTAGGTGTTGTCAGCAGCAGTAGTGATGCTGGTGGTGGTCAGGGTGTCAGTAGATGTTGTCAGCAGCAGTAGTGATGCTGGTGATGGCCAGGGTGTCAGTAGGTGTTGTCAGCAGCAGTAGTGATGCTGGTGGTGGCCAGGGTGTCAGTAGGTGTTGTCAGCAGCAGTAGTGATGCTGGTGGTGGTCAGGGTGTCAGTAGGTGTTGTCAGCAGCAGTAGTGATGCTGGTGGTGGCCAGGGTGTCAGTAGGTGTTTGTCAGCAGCAGTAGTGATGCTGGTGGTGGCCAGGGTGTCAGTAGATTGTTGTCAGCAGCAGTAGTGATGCTGGTGGTGGTCAGGGTGTCAGTAGATGTTGTCAGCAGCAGTAGTGATGCTGGTGGTGGCCAGGGTGTCAGTAGGTGTTGTCAGCAGCAGTAGTGATGCTGGTGGTAGCCAGGGTGCCAGAGGATGTTGTCAGCAGCAGTAGTGATGCTGGTGGTGGCCAGGGTGTCAGTAGGTGTTGTCAGCAGCAGTAGTGATGCTGGTGGTGGCCAGGGTGTCAGTAGGTGTTGTCAGCAGCAGTAGTGATGCTGGTGGTGGTCAGGGTGTCAGTAGATGTTGTCAGCAGCAGTAGTGATGCTGGTGATGGCCAGGGTGTCAGTAGGTGTTGTCAGCAGCAGTAGTGATGCTGGTGGTGGCCAGGGTGTCAGTAGGTGTTGTCAGCAGCAGTAGTGATGCTGGTGGTGGTCAGGGTGTCAGTAGGTGTTGTCAGCAGCAGTAGTGATGCTGGTGGTGGCCAGGGTGTCAGTAGGTGTTGTCAGCAGCAGTAGTGATGCTGGTGGTGGTCAGGGTGTCAGTAGATGTTGTCAGCAGCAGTAGTGATGCTGGTGGTGGCCAGGGTGCCAGAAGGTGTTGTCAGCAGCAGTAGTGATGCTGGTGGTGGCCAGGGTGTCAGTAGATGTTGTCAGCAGCAGTAGTGATGCTGGTGGTGGCCAGGGTGTCACTAGGTGTTGTCAGCAGCAGTAGTGATGCTGGTGGTGGTCAGGGTGTCAGTAGGTGTTGCCAGCAGCAGTAGTGATGCTGGTGGTGGTCAGGGTGTCAGTAGGTGTTGTCAGCAGCAGTAGTGATGCTGGTGGTGGTCAGGGTGCCAGAAGGTGTTGTCAGCAGCAGTAGTGATGCTGGTGGTAGCCAGGGTGCCAGAAGGTGTTGTCAGCAGCAGTAGTGATGCTGGTGGTAGCCAGGGTGCCAGAGGATGTTGTCAGCAGCAGTAGTGATGCTGGTGGTGGCCGGGGTGCCAGAAGGTGTTGTCAGCAGCAGTAGTGATGCTGGTGGTAGCCAGGGTGCCAGAGGATGTTGTCAGCAGCAGTAGTGATGCTGGTGGTGGCCGGGGTGCCAGAAGGTGTTGTCAGCAGCAGTAGTGATGCTGGTGGTGGCCAAGACATTGACTGGAGATCTCAGCACAGTAATGTTCACTATCTCTTCCAGCCAGCCCTGGAACACAAAAATAATGTTGTAACATTACAGGTAACATTAAAATTTCTCTGGAACAGCGCGTAATGACCCCATCGGGCTCAACACGTTTCAAAACTGCCATAACATAATAATTACATTAGGAATCCATAGAGAGGGTTGAGAAGGATTTTAAAAAAGTCTCCCCTTATGAAATGTTCTTCAATCATGTTATATTCGTAACAAAAGAACAATTTCATCGAAATATCCAACAAAATCTCTAAATAATATAATTATAGTACAAATAAATATAATAAACTTTAAATTTGCAAATTCAGCAGAGAATAATTATAGGGAAATGCTTCTGTGACTAATAAATATAAAAAGTATGTAAATTACAGTTTTTTCACCCATGTTGATATGGAAAGGCAGTACAGGACTAAAATTGGTTGTAATCATAATCGATAAACCAGCGGAAGTCATCGGTCAGATGACCAAAAACTCCAGCTACGAGTTATCATATGACGTGTACGCCACTTGTCAAATGTACGCCACTTGTCAAATGTACGCCACTTGTCAAGTGTACGCCACTTGTCAAGTGTAACGCCACTTGTCAAGTGTACGCCACTTGTCAAGTGTACGCCACTTGTCAAATGTACGCCACTTGTCAAGTGTACGCCACTTGTCAAGTGTACGCCACTTGTCAAGTGTACGCCACTTGTCAAGTGTACGCCACTTGTCAAGTGTACGCCACTTGTCAAGTGTACGCCACTTGTCAAGTGTACTTGAATGTCTTTCAAAGGGATTAAAACAGAATGCTTAAACAGCCTCAAGGAGAAATCTCCGTATATTACCATGAAGTCATTTTGTTTAGGTTGCTGAGTTGGTTTATTTAGAGACGACGAGGCAAGACAGGTTGTTCAAGAGTAATGTAAATTCAGCGTAGATGGATGTAGAGGACATCATGTAAACAGTTGAAAGTGGTAATGAAAAAAGTTTGTGAAATGTCAGTTAGCATTTGATCATCGTGCAGGTAGGTGTGTTGAGTGGAGACATCGTGGTTTTGGGGATATTATATGCTGTTGGAGTGTGAGCGAGGTAATATCTATGGATGTACTCAGGAAAATTGATTACTTGAGCTTGAGTTCTGGAAGTGGAAAGCACATTAGGGTGAATTTTGGTGGGTCATTTGCATTGTGATATCTGTGTATTTCTGGAAAGACAGCTACTGACTGATTGATGGTGGATGTTGCCTTCCTCGGGCTGTCTACTCTGATGGGAATCAGCCGAGGTGTTACCTGACTCTCAAAAGTAGTTTTACTTTTAAGATATCCAGTGACTTGAGTGAAAATTGCTTTATTGAAAGTCTGGAGTCGACACAACGTTCGACTCTATTCTCTTCTTTATATAATTATTATATTTAGTGGGCAGATTCCAGAATTCCGGACTCCGAATATAACACTGCTTCCATTACCTATTCTAACACATTTTGTGTTCATATACAACGCTATTCAAAATTTTATGTTTTCCAGCACTTTTTCCAGGCCTTGCTGGCAGGAACACAAACCTTTCTCAGTATTACCATCGGGTTTAGTTTTAACTACCAATCATAGTAGGAGTCCCACAGGGAAGTGTCCTTGGACCACTCCTCTTTCTCGTCTAAATCAATGATCTACCGAATGCATCACAGCTACTGAAACCCATATTATTTGTAGATGACACTACATACGTCTTCTCACACCCAAACCCAGTCATACTCGCCAACACTGTCAATGCTGAATTGCAGAAAATATCTACCTGGATGATGACTAATAAACTTACTCTAAATACTGACAAAACCTATTTCATTCAGTTTGGAACCAGAGCTGCAAATGTTCCAATTAACATAACACTAAATGGATCACCCATCACAAGACTCACAGAGGAAAAATTCCTAGGAATCCATCTAGACAGTAGCCTCATATTCCAGACACATATACAACAAATTTCCAAGAAAATTTCTAAGACAGTAGGCATACTATCAAAGATATGGTACTATGTTTCACAATTAGCTCTCCTTGCACTGTATCATTCACTCATCTACCCTTATCTCGCATGGAATTTGTGCATGGGGATGAACAACGTCAAACCACCTAAGGCCTCTAATAACCCAGCAAAAGGCTGCAGTCAGAATGATAACAAATTCCCACTCGCGACAGCATACTCCACCTCTATTCAGAAATATAAATTTGTTCACCATAAAGAACATCCACACTTATTCATGTACCTACTACATACACAGAACAATACACGCAAACATAAACCCTCCACTCAAACTTCTCCTTACCAACCTTAACAGAACACACGACCATCACACAAGACGGATCTCTTTTTTTAATGTACCCCGAGTCCATATCACACTGTGTAAAAACTTCTATGCACATTAGGGGCCCCAAAATCTGGAATTCATTACCAGAACATACTAAAGTAACCAGGCCTGAAAATCAATTTAAGACTCTTTCAAAAGACTACTTACTCGCCCAGGACTAAATAATCAACACTCAATATTTAACATTACCAATAATTCTCCCAATTACTTAAATCTTAAAACTTCAAGATAACATATAGTAAACTGATCATCGTGTTTGTTATACATTGTAATGCGGCAAATTTGTACAATTATAATGCTTCAATATCGAAATGTTCAAATTTCATTGTTTCAAATACTCAACTGTACTTTATATTGTAAATTGTTTACGATAATATCTGCCAGTGAACCTTACATTGTTTAGGTAATGTTAAGTTAATTTTAAGCCTGCCCATAATGCTCGGCATACAAGGCGCTTCAGGCATGTACACCCAACTACTATTTATTTTATTTATTTATTTAGAAATTTTAGCATACAAACAGAGGTACAAAAAATACAGGTAAGAGCAGCATGCCAAAGCCACTTATATGCATAGCATTACGGGCTGGCTTAAAATTAACTTAAGATTAACTAAGCAATGATGTAATCAGTGATAAAACATTATTGTAAACAGATAACTATAAAGCACAAATGAGTATTACAAAGACAGGTCATATGGTTGCTTGCATTGTTGTACATTCAGTAGAATGGAGTATTCTGTTAGGTAGTGTATTTAAAAAAATAACAAAGTTAGGTTTAACATTTGTGTGATATAATTGTGAGTAACATTTAGGATATACAATTTATACGGATCAGTTATTCAGTATTTATTTGGTTTTGAGTGAGTGAACAATTCATTGTACAACTATGTATCATGTCCAAATATACTATATGAATATATGAATGTAAATATGAATACTAATCTGTTATTGTTACTTATATTTGCATAAATAACTCGTTAGGACTGTGACCAGATATAAACATGTAAACACTTGTTACTTGTTCAGCTTTGTGGCACAGTCCCTAGACCCATTATGTACCTCTATAATGTTGAAGTACAGTCCCTAGACCCATTATGTACCTCTATAATGTTGAGGTACAGTCCCTAGACCCATTATGTACCTCTATAATGTTGAGGTACAGTCCCTAGACCCATTATGTACCTCTATAATGTTGAGGTACAGTCCCTAGACCCATTATGTACCTCTATAATGTTGAGGTACAGTCCCTAGACCCATTATGTACCTCTATAATGTTGAGGTACAGTCCCTAGACCCATTATGTACCTCTATAATGTTGAGGTACAGTCCCTAGACCCATTATGTACCTCTATAATGTTGAGGTACAGTCCCTAGACCCATTATGTACCTCTATAATGTTGAGGTACAGTCCCTAGACCCATTATGTACCTCTATAATGTTGAGGTACAGTCCCTAGACCCATTATGTACCTCTATAATGTTGAGGTACAGTCCCTAGACCCCATTATGTACCTCTATAATGTTGAGATACAGTCCCTAGACCCATTATGTACCTCTATAATGTTGAGGTACAGTCCCTAGACCCATTATGTACGTCTGCAATGTTGAGGTACAGTCCCTAGACCCATTATATACCTCTGTAATGTTGAGGTACAGTCCCTAGACCCATTATGTACCTCTATAATGTTGAGGTACAGTCCCTAGACCCATTATGTACCTCTATAATGTTGAGGTACAGTCTCTGGACCCATTATGTACCTCTATAATGTTGAGGTACAGTCTCTGGACCCATTATGTACCTCTATAATGTTGAGGTACAGTCTCTGGACCCATTATGTACCTCTATAATGTTGAGGTACAGTCTCTGGACCCATTATGTACCTCTATAATGTTGAGGTACAGTCCCTAGACCCATTATGTACCTCTGTAATATTGAGGTACAGTCCCTAGACCCATTATGTACCTCTATAATGTTGAGGTACAGTCTCTGGACCCATTATGTACCTCTGTAATGTTGAGGTACAGTCCCTAGACCCATTATGTACCTTAGTAATGTTGAGGTAAAGTCCCTAGACCCATTATGTACCTCTGTAATGTTGAGGTACAGTATTTGGACCAATTATGCACCTCTGTAATGTTGAGGTACAGTCCCTGGACCCATTATGTACCTCTATAATGTTGAGGTACAGTCCCTAGACCCATTATGTACCTCTATAATGTTGAGATACGGTCCCTGGACCCATTATGTACCTCTATAATGTTGAGGTACAGTCCCTGGACACAATATGTACATGTGTAATTTTGAGGCACAGTCCCTAGGCCCATTATGTACCTCTGTATTGTTGAGATATAGTCCCTGGACCCATTATGTACCTCTGTAAGGTTGAAGTACAGTCCCTGGACATATTATGTACCTCTGTGATGTCGACGTACAGTTCCTGGACCCATAATGTACCTCTGTAATGTTGAGGTACAGTTCCTAGACCCATTTTGTACCTCTGTAATGTTGAGGTACAGTCCCTGAACCCATTATGTACGTCTGTAATGTTGAGGTACAGTCCCTAGACCTATTTTGTACCTCTGTAATGTTGAGTTACATTCCCAGGGCCCATTATGTACCTCTGTATTGTTGAGGTACAGTCCCTGAGCCCATTATGTACGTCTGTAATGTTGAGGTACAGTCCCTATACCCATTATGTGCCTCTGTCATGTTGAGGTACAGTCCCTGGACCCATTATGTACCTCTGTAATGTTGAGATACAGTCCCTGGACCCATTATGTACCTCTGTAATGTTGGGGTACAGTCCCAGAATACAATATGTACATCTGTAATGTTGAGGTAAGGTCCCTGGACCCATTATGTACCTCTGTAATGTTGAGGTACAGTCCCTTGATCCATTATGTACCTCTGTAATGTTGAGGTACAGTCCCTGGACCCATTATGTATTTCTGTAATGTTGAGGTACAGTCCCTGGACCCATTATGTACCTCTATAATGTTGAAGTACAGTCCCTGGACACAATATGTACCTCTGTAATGTTGAGGTACAGCCACTGGACCCATTATGTACCTCTGTAATGTTGAGGTACAGTCCCTGGACCCATTATGTACCTCTATAATGTTGAAGTACAGTCCCTGGACACAATATGTACCTCTGTATTGTTGAGGTACAGTACCTGGACCCATTATGTACCTATGTAATGTTGAGATACAGTCCCTGTACCCATTATTTATGTCTGTAATTTTGAGGTACAGTCCCTGGACCCATTATGTACCTCTGTAATGTTGAGGTACAGTCCCTGGACATAATATGTACCTTTGTAATGTTGAGGTACAATCCCTAGACCCATTATGCACCTCTGTAATGTTGAGGTACAGTCCCTTGACCCATTATGTACCTCTGTAATGCTGAGATACAGTCCATGGACACAATATGTACCACTGTAATGTTGAGGTACAGTCCCTGGACCCATTATGTACCTCTGCAATGTTGAAGTACAGTCCCTCGACACAATATGTACCTCTGTAATGTTGAGGTATAGTCCCTGGATCCATTATGTACCTCTGTAATGTTGAGGTACAGTCCCTGGATCCATTATGTACCTCTGTAATGTTGAGGTACAGTCCCTGGACCCATTATATACTTCTGTAATGTTGAGGTACAGTCCCTGGACACAATATGTACCTCTGTAATGTTGAGGTTCCATCGCTGGACACAATATGTACCTCTGTAATGTTGAGGTACAGTCCCTGGACCCAATATGTACCTCTGTAATGTTGAGGTACAGTCCTTGGATACAATATGTACCTCTGTAATGTTGAGGTACAGTCCCTGGACCCAATATGTACCTCTGTAATGTTGAGAAACAGTCCCTAGATCCATTATGTACCTTTACAATGATGAGAAACAGTCCCTAGACTCATTATATACCTCTATAATGTTGAGGTACAGTCCCTGGACCCATTATGTACCTCTGTAATGTTGAGGTACAGTCTCTAGGCCCATTATGTACCTCTGTAATGTTGAGGTACAGTCCCTAGACCCGTTATGTACCTCTGTAATACTGAGGTACAGTCCCTGGACCCATTATGTACCTCTGTAATGTTGAGGTGCAGTCCCTAGACCCATTATGTACCTCTGTATTATTGAGGTACAGTCCCTGGACTCATTATGTACCTCTGTAATGTTGAGGTACAGTCCCTGGACACATTATGTACCTCTGTAATGTTGAGGTACAGTACCTGGACACATTACGTACCTCTGTAATGTTGATGTACAGTCCCTGGACACAACATGTACCTTTGTAATGTTAAGGTACAGTCCCTGGACCCAATATGTACCTCTGTAATCTTTTGACTACCGCCCACAGGATGGGTATGGGGTGACTACCGCCCACAGGATGGGTATATGAGGTGACTACCGCCCACAGGATGGGTACGGGGTGACTACCGCCCAGAGGGTGCGTATGGGGTGACTACCGCCCACAGGATGGGTATGGGGTGACTACCGCCCACAGGATGGGTATGGGGTGACTACCGCCCACAGGATGGGTATGGGATGGCTACCACCCCCAGGATGGGTATGGGATTACTACCGCCCCCAGGATGGGTATGGGGTGACTACCACCCACAGGATGGATATAGGGTGACTACCGCCCAGAGGATGGGTATGGGGTGACTACCGCCCCCAGAATGGGTATGGGGTGACTACCTCCCTCAGGATGGGTATGGGGTGTCTACCGCCCCCAGGATGGGTATGGGATTACTACCGCCCCCAGGATGGGTATGGGGTGACTACCGCCCACAGGATGGATATAGGGTGACTACCGCCCCCAGGATGGGTATGGGGTGACTACTGCCTCCAGGATGGGTATGGGGTGACTACCGCCTCCAGGATGGGTATGGGGTGACTACCGCCCACGGGATGGGTATGGGGTGACTACCGCCCCCAGGATGGGTATGGGGTGACTACCGCCCACAGGATAGGTATGGGGTGACTACCGCTCACAGGATGGGAATGGGGTGGCTACCGTCCACAGGATGGGTATGGAGTGACTTACGCCCACAGGATGGGTATGGGGTGACTACCGCCCACAGGATGGGTATGGGGTGGCTACCGTCCACAGGATGGGTATGGGGTGACTGCCGCCCACAGGATGGGTATGGGGTGACTACCGCCCACAGGATGGGTATGGGGTGACTACCGCCCACAGGATGGGTATGGGGTGACTACCGCCCACAGGATGGGTATGGGGTGACTATCGCCCACAGGATGGGTATGGGGTGACTACCGCCCACAGGATGGGTATGGGGTGACTATCGCCCACAGGATGGGTATGGGGTGACTACCGCCCACAGGATGGGTATGGGGTGACTATCGCCCACATGATCGCTGACAAACTAGCTCACACATTGAGGTCTGGAAATCGAATCCCCAGTACAACTTGAAAGCACTGGGACGTGTTTCCTTAAGACACCTGCTGTCCATGTTCACCCAACAGTATAAAATGGGTACCTGGATGTTAGTCGACTGGTGTGGGTCGCATCCTGGGACAAAACTGACCTAATTTGCGGGAAATGCTCATCATAACAAACGGCTTTCTATATAGTAGTATGTCACTGATGTCAGTTATGGTCTGTATACCTTGTACATGTACTGGTAGAAATAAATATATTATTATTATTATTATTATTATTATTATTATTATTATTATTATTATTATTATTATATAAAGACTCCTGAAGATGAGCAACTTTGACACTCGCAAATAATTACAGATTGAACAAGTTTGTGATTGTTTTGTCCGTTTTCTATAGCTGGTGGTATATTCATTTTCTTTGAGATTTTAAGCATAACTAAATAAAAATTGCAGTTTATGCACCCTCGTTTGTTAAGCATTTCTCATGGTCTTGTATCCCTTTATTAGGGGCTATAAGACCACAAGAACTGCTTAACAACGAGAAATGCTTAACTACATTGTTTGAATGTGACGCAGAAAACAATAAATACACAAATGCTCTGGAAAACATCTACAAAAGGTTGACGTAATTGATGCCATGTATCAGACACCTTTCTTACGAAGATAAATAAATAATCTTTATTTGTACAAACTACATGATATAACTAATAGAGAACTAGTTGACGCTATTCGCATACTTTATAAAAAGTTCCCGGCCATACAGAGTATTTCCAGAAGCCTAAGTTCATCTTGTCCCCAGGATGCGACCCACAACAGTCGACTTACATTAGGTGTAAGTAAACATGTCCAACGTTTCACCCGTGCCGAGAATCAGTCCCTTACCCTCAGTGTGTGAGTTCAGCGGGTGCTCGTGGCTTGGCTGGTAGCGTCGTCGGCTCACACACTGATGAGTCTGGGATCGTTCCCAGCACGAGTGAAATATTGGGTTTGTTTCCTTACACCTGCGAGCAAGTTTATATAATTATACCTGTCTGACACCAACTCTTCCCCAGGCTGAGGGACTGACCACCTCAAAACTACTTCGAAGGTGATGGACTGACAACATCAGTTATACTTCTCCAATGCTGCCGCCATAACCCGCTTTATACTGGACATTATAAAGAATACGATATTGATCAACTCAAATCAGGATCTAAACTCAACATTAGTAATAATAATAATAATAATAATAATCAGCAGGTGGGTACGTACCTGGAGACGTGACTCTCAGCACTAGCATGTTGGTCACCACTGTTGAGTTTGGAGAACCTTCTGGGTGTTGTCGGGGAAGTAGGCAACACGTTGATGTGACGACTCTTAATGTTGCGAACATTAGATGGCACAGCCTTCTTGGGTGTTTTAACGCCTGGAGGCTTGACTGGGGATGGAGTCGGCTTTTTGGAAGTCACGGCCGGTTTCCGGCTCGAAGTCACAGCCGGTCTCCGGCTCGTAGTGGTCTTGACTGGAGTTCTTTCTGTGTGCTTTGGGGCAACTTGCGGTTTGTTGGGTTTAGCAGCCACGGTTGGCTTTTTGTTAACGTCGGCTTGCTGGGGTGAGTGTCGTTCGGCGTCAGCCACGATTCCAGAGTCATTGGATCGAGTGGTGCTCGCAGAAGAATTGACAGGTGAACTCTCAGCTGAGTTGGGCCTTGGGGGAATCACTTCGTTCAGCATTGTCGCAAATCTTACCACCTTCTTCCCTTTTTTCTGCTTGTTCGCCACTTCGACGTCCACGGCATCACTGACGTTTTCAGCTGAGTCTTCATCGGGAACTTTGGGTGGAGTCGGTGGTCGGTATTCAACTTCAATGGCCGTGTTGACAACGGGCTCGTTTTCTTCAGGTAACTGAATCTTTTTCTCTACAGCCGCACGTTGTGCCCCCATAACTACGGCGTTACCAATTGCCATGTTAATAACTACTGGTTCTTGTTCAAAGTCAAAATTATCATCTATATGATACAGGCCGTCGAAGTCCATGAGCTCCTCATAACCAAGCATAACGTCACAAAGACTGTACACAAATTTGGGATTGTCATTGTTTTCTCTGCTGAATCCCAACAATGGTTTATTATCTTTCATATTCAAGTAAGTATCTTCCACTGTGCGGATATGCAGTCCTTCAGAAGTAGAGAACAGGATGGGCGTCTTGAAATTAATGGTGTTTTTGCCGCTTTTCTGTTTCTTCTGCGACTTGCCGTTCTTGTTTGCAGTTTTCGTGCTCGGCACACGACTGATGTATGGACGTGTGGGTTTGGGCGAAGCCACGTCGACGGAGTTGGGTCTGCAGCACATGATGAGAGCTTCACACTTGGCCCTCACTTCACTTAAAATAACAAACACTAAAATTGGCACTAGAACGATGAAAATGTATCGAAACCACACAGCTACGGTATCAAACACAGGAGTGTCTGTTACTTCGGGAATGAAGCTATGGTCCACAGTAATGTTGGACATGTCAGTGGAGATGTGGGAAGCGCTGGTGTTGGTTTTATTGATGGCTCTAAGGGTAGTTTCGTCAAGCATAGCCTTGGTCATTGTAAAATTAGTCGCCCCCCAGCCCGAGAACACTTTGAAGTCTTTGTTGCTTGTGTCGTTGGTTGTTTCATTGGCCCAGTGTTTAGTTATCATGGGGTTGATAATATTAAGTGCAGTGAACGGCAGCCAGAACACTAAATACAATATCACCGTGCAGTTGGCAAACACAGCAGGATAGAATTCGTTCTTAAAGTAAGGAGTCATTAGAATTTGGTCAAAATAACCTACTGTTTGGTTATTTTTAAGTCTCTTTTGATTTTTACGTTCACGATGGAATATTACTGAGGTGATGCAGACTAGCACTACCATAATGATAGTCGGGGCACACACCACCACCACCAGCGGAACTATGAGGTAATAGTCGTCATAGGGGTCGGCTATGGAACATGAGTACCTGTTCCTGTATGGCATGCTGTGGATGTAGCCACATACCAAGGGGGACGCCATTAGAAATGACACCACCCATGTTGTAAATATTACTACACCCAGCTTGGACTTCTCAGCGTTGAGGTACACGGTGTATTTTTTGGCTGCAGCTAGTCTATCGAACGCCAATAAAATTACCGAGAAAGCCATCTCGCTATTCATCATATTCATTGTAAAACTATTGAAGTGACTTACACCGTAGCCAAACCTCCAGGGAGCAGTGAAGACGTAGCCTATGGAAACACTGAGGTTGAGGAAACAGTCGATCATACAGGCGAGGGAGAGGTTGATGAGGAGGTGGCAATAGAGGAACCTCTTGAGAGTGTAGCTGGTACACACTGTTACCACAACCATCAGGTTCAGGATGAATGCAATAAGAAAGATAAGGGAAAGGAAGGAGCCGGCGACTATGGGCCATGGATCCACCGGGCATGGGCTTATGATGGGACGCAGTATGGGCACCAATGTGTTGTTTATCGTCTCCAGCAGAAGCTCGAAATGGATCTGGTAGCCTTCACACACCATCTCCGATTTACATACAAATATAACACTACTGAAAGGTTTAGTCTGTCTTTGAATTCCTTCCCTCAGACATGAGAGACTTTTACCGAATTACCTGAACTCACTTCTCTACAGATTGTTTACAGGTTCACTTTACGCGTTCTTGAAAACAAACACTATCAGAATAATTACTGACATACACAGAAACTGTATTTATTCAGGAGTCCATCTTCACTGCCATAATTGTAATATTTCTGAATGGAATTCCTTAACCGGGTTTAGCAGGGAGAGGTGAGTCGCTTGGTGTGCGTCATGCTTGCCAGTGGTTCTTCTTGTCTGTGCGAAGAATTTGCATGGGAAAGTTCCCCCATCATCCTGGACATGTTGCCTTACACGCCGGTGCCGCATGATGGAAGGCAGCGCCACCTTCAGCGCCACCTTCAGCGCCACCTTCAGCGCCACCTTCAGAGCTCCCTTTGGTGCTGTCTTCACACCAACCCAACCTAAAATCAAACAAAAAATATTTGAGTATAGGTATCGCAGCTCTTTACTGATATATATATATATATATATATATATATATATATATATATATATATATATATATATATATATATATATATATATATATATATATATATATATATATATATATATATATATATTATATATAAAAGACACGAAGAAGCCATACATGGTGCCAGCACTAATAATGAGGATAAGGATGATCCAGAGCACACATAAAATGCTACATATAGATCAATAACAAGACATATCCTCAGTTTCCTTAAAAAAAAAATATGTTTAAGAAGATGGGAATATTTCTAAACATTTTTTTTTATTTTTATGTATAAAATGATATGGTTTTAAATTTGACTGTATTATGGTAATCAAGAGTGACATAAGTAAATTTGATGATGACACCAAAATAGGCCGTCCAATACCAATTCATTCTGATGAGGACATTAGAGCACTCCAGGATGATTTGAATAGACTGATGCAGTGGTCGGAGAAGTGGCAGATGCAGTTTAATATAGACAAATGCAAAGTTCTAAATGTTGGACAGGAAAATAACCATGACACATATAAACTAAATAATGTAGATCTTAATATTACGGATTGCGAAAAAGATTTAGGAGTTCTGGTTAGCAGTAATCTGAAACCAAGACAACAGTGCATAAGTGTTCGCAATAAAGCTAACAGAATCCTTGGCTTCATATCAAGAAGCATAAATAATAGGAGTCCTCAGGGTTGTTCTTTAACTCTATATATCCTTGGTTAGGCCTCATTTAGATTATGCTGCAGTTTTGGTCACCGTATTACAGAATGGATACAAATGTTCTGGAAAACGTACAAAGGAGGATGACAAAGTTGATCCCATGTAACAGAAACCTTCCCTATGAGGACAGACTGAGGGGCCTGAATCTACACTCTGTAGAAAGGCGTAGAATTAAATCAGGGATAATCACAGACAGCACTACTGACCACTACCCAACCTTCCTCTTAACAAACATTAGTAAGCCACCACTCGAATACAACAAAGTTTCATTTAGACTCCATGACGAGGCCTTAATAAGGAATTTCACAGCAGACCTAGAGACTGTTGACTGGCCTACAGAATTCTCCAAGGCCAATGGTGTTGACGATTGGACAGACATTTTTCTTAAAACAAAAAAATTAGACTAACGAAACAATCAGAATAAAACGGTTGGTTCCCCATGGCTAACCAGCACATTTGAAATCCATTGATAAGAAACCCCAAATATGAAAAGAAATATAGACATGATAATACAAAAAAGATTTTTCTTAAACAATATTCAACGTTCCACCAAATTAATAAAAACCCAAACAACGTACTACCCCAGCAGATTCACTGACACAAGGGGAGATAAAAAAAAGACCTGGAAAACACTTTCCCAGATTCAGGGACCCAAAACTGAAAAAACCCAAAAATATTTTCAAACTAAACCTCATAAAAACCCCCACTACACCCCAAATGTCAGCTAACAATTAAACGACTTTTCTCAAACTAGGTTTTCTATCCGCCAGAAAAAATCCACGTACCAATGCCATGCCGGGGATACCTAGAGGGGTTTTCCCCAAAATTCCTTCTATCTTGTACCAACTGAGCCCCGGAAGTCACCGCGATCATAAAGTCACTTAAAAAATAACTGGGGGAATCTGTCTCACGTCCCACCTTATTGTAAACAGGGGGAAACCCAGTCCTTTGGCATGCTATTAATTCTTTTTAACAAGTCCTGAAACAAGTATTTCCCCGCCCCTCTCAAGACAGCAAGGGGTTTTTTACCCCAATAAAAAGGGGTGGGCCCCTAAGACGAAACAACTATGGGCCAAATATCAAATTTTACCATTGCTACCAAAATCTTCGGAAAATCGTGCACAGGGGCTATATTCAATTTTTTTTAAAGTCACAAAAAAATACTCAACCCCTGCCCAAATTTGGTTTTAGGAAAAAAAAAAAGCATAAAGATCAATCATAAAAATGCTGATCTGCTTTACACACATTGGAAAATAAAGGGAATATCCATAGGAATTTTTTTGACCCAAGAAAAACGTTTGACCAGTAGACCCCCGGCATCCTACTCCACAATTGACCCTATGGTATAAAGAAGGGCCCGCGCTTGAATTTTAAATCCCACCTTTTAAAAGGGATCAGTATGTCACCATTAAAGACACAGCCTCATCTCGGCCCCCTTGATTGGGTTCCGCAGGGAAGTGTCTTGGTCCCCCGCTCTTCCCATTACTCAATGACCTACCAAACAATCCCAACACCCGAAACCCATTCTCTTTGTGACGACACGACTTTGTATCTCTCACCCCATTTGCCCCCTCAACACCCTTTTAACGAAGGGGCTGATCAAAATATTTGACTTGGATGACAGCCAATAAACTTACATTAAAAAGCTGACAAAACCTAATATAGTTTGGGAGCAGGCATGTTGCGCAACTTAACATTTAAAGGGGACAACACTTATTACCAGGCATAATGAGGGCAAATTCCTTGGCCTATACCTCGCAACAACCTGAATTTCAGCACCCATATCCAACACATAACCAAAAAAGTATCCAAAACGGTGGGGATCCTCTCCAAGATACGATATACGTGCCACAAACTGCCCTTCTCACACTATACCATTCACTTATATATCCATACCTCACCTATGCTATCTGTGCTTGGGGTTCAACTGCAGCAAACCCCCTAAAGCCCAAAAATAACCCAAAAAAAAGTTGCAGTAAGAATAATCACTAAATCCCATCCCTGGCAACACCCCCCCCCACTCTTCATAGATCTAAACTTACTCCCTGTTCAGTACATTCACACTTACTACTGTGCAGTCTATATCTACAGGACCTTAAATTCCCCTATTAACCTTGACCTAAAACGCTTTCTTTAGTTGTGACAGGATCCACAGGCATAACACCGACACAAACAAACTCTATGACATTCCCCGTGTCCGACTAAACCTTTTACAAAAATTCAATGTATTTCAAAGGGCCTAAATCTGGGGAAAACCCTACCTGAGGAACTCTAGAAAATGCAGACACATTCATCACTTTCAAAAAAATACGTTAGAAAACATCTTTTCTCCCTGATACACCCGACAACTAACTACATGATAACCACCTGGTGGTTCACAATTACACTCACTCACCCACTGACTATAAACCCAGAAATACTAATCTTAATCTTAAAATAATGAATCCTAACTAGTCATAAGTTTGCCTATGATACTCCAATATAGACACTTTGTATTGTGCCAAAACAAAAACATTCACATTGCTAAACTCACAAATTATGATGTAGTCACATAGCCTTAATACCATAATCTGTAAGGACTTAATGTTAAGAATTAATCTAAGTCTGCTCGAAATGCCTAGCCATGCTAGGTGTCCTAGTGCCCCCTCTGTAATTAGTATTTTATAACATGTAAACCATAAAATACCCAAAACCTGTAAACCCCACATTGTAACCATTATATAGAGTAAACTTGAATTGAATTGCATTGAATAATAATAAGGCATTAACAGAAATAAGTCACTCTGACTTTTTTGGGTCATCCGAGGTTGTCTACACATATACTGCTGTACTCACCTATTTGTACTCACCTATTTGTGGTTGCAGGGGTCGATTCATAGCTCCTGGCCCCGCCTCTTCGCTGATTGCTACTAGGTCCTCTCTCCCCCTGCCCCATGAGCTTTATCATACCTCGCCTTAAAACTATGTATGGTTCTCGCCTCCACTACGTCACTTTCTAGGCTATTCCACGGTCTGACTACTCTATGATTGAAGAAATACTTCCTAACATCCCTTTGATTCATCTGAGTCTTCAACTTCCAATTGTGACCTCTTGTGTCTGTGTCCCCTCTCTGGAACATCCCGTCTTTGTCCACCTTGTCTATTCCGCGCAGTATTTTATATGTCGTTATCATGTCTCCCCTGACCCTCCTGTCCTCCAGTGTCGTCAGGCCGATTTCCTTCAACCTTTCTTCGTAGGACAATCCCCGTAGCTCTGGGACTAGTCTTGTTGCAAACCTTTGCACTTTCTCTAATTTCTTGACGTGCTTGACTAGGTGTAGATTCCAAACTGGTGCTGCATACTCCAGTATGGGCCTGACGTAAATGGTATACAGAGTCTTGAACGACTCCTTACTGAGGTATCGGAACGCTATCCGTAGGTTTGCCAGGCGTCCGTATGCTGCAGCAGTTATCTGATTGATGTGCGCCTCAGGAGATATGCTCGGTGTTATACTCACCCCCAGATCTTTTTCCTTGAGTGAGGTTTGCAGTCTTTGGCCATCTAAACTATATTGTGTCTGCGGTCTTCTTTGCCCTTCCCCAATCTTCATGACTTTGCATTTGGCAGGGTTAAATTCAAGGAGCCAGTAGCTGGACCAGGCTTGTAGCCTGTTCAGGTCTCTCTGTAGTCCTGCCTGATCCTCATCCGATTTGATTCTTCTCATTAACTTCACATCATCTGCAAACAAGGACACTTCTGAGTCTATCCCTTCCGTTATGTCGTTCACACATACCAAGAACAGCACAGGTCCTAGGACTGACCCCTGTGGAACCCCGCTTGTCACAAGCACCCACTCTGACACCTCGTCGCGTACCATGACTCGTTGTTGCCTCCCTGTCAGGTATTCTCTGATCCATTGCAGTGCCTTTCCTGTTATGTGTGCCTGATCCTCTAGCTTTTGCAGTAACCTCTTGTGAAGGACTGTGTCGAAGGCCTTCTTGCAGTCCAAAAAAATGCAGTCGATCCACCCCTCTCTCTCTTGTCTTACTTCTGTCACCTTGTCATAAAACTCTAGTAGGTTTGTGACACAGGATTTTCCTTCCCTGAAACCGTGCTGGTTGTCAATTATACACTTGTTTCTTTCCAGGTGCTCCACCACTCTCCTTCTGATGATCTTCTCCATGACCTTGCATACTATACACGTTAGTGATACAGGT